GTACTTATTAAAACACTTATTAGAAATAGTTTTAAATTGACTATCTTAATATGAAATTGAAAATTAATTATAGGCTTCACACCCAACACCCATATTTTCAATAGCCAAATTAATATTTTAAAAGAATATTTCTAATTACCTTCTCTGTGTAATAGTCATTATATTGCTTAAACAAATAAGAGATCGTTCATCTTGATGTGGTGAAGCAACAAAATAATCCCAAACTGGTGAGAAAGCCTTCTTAGCCAACTCATAGGTACCAGCCTGATAGGCAACCTGCAACAAAAAGTACGTTGTCTAATGGGATATTTTTATCTGTGAAATGTATCTTTTAAACAGGAATTCTGATAAGGTCCGCTCACACACTAATTTCTTACACAGTTGTTCACATTTGCTGTTTTGTTCTACAGGGCCACAGTAAGATATCAATGGCCACTGGCAAGGGAGGCAGACACATTTTGAAATCTCTTTTATTTCTAAATTGCATGGAAATTTGAAACTCTGTAAGGATGTTTCAAATTCTCATAAGCAAAACAAAGATCACATCTGAGCCAAATTAATTTCATTTCCATCGATCTCAGCAGTGCACTCCATTTATTATAGACACTGTTATAATGAACAATCTGTTCCAAGAGAAACAATCAGATTTCCCAAACCCAAAATATGAAATATACTTCATTCTTTTCTGGTGCAGACTGACACTTTCAGAGCTTTTTTTGTGCAACAAAGGGTTCACAGCTAAAAAGAGTGAAAAATAAAACAGAAATGTTTCCAAGAGGCCATATTTTTAATTCAACACATTCAACATTAGGCAAAATAACTGATTTCGCTGGTAAAACAGAAGTTCGAGAGAAAAAAAAACAACAACTTACCTATTTCTTTTGGTAGAATATATTTCTTTACAGATATTCCCTAAAATCATTCTATTCAAATATGTACGACAATATGAAATCTCACCATGTGAGTTATGTGCTGCTTCAAATCCTTAATGGAAGCAGGTAGAATATAAAGTATAAATAAATTCATTAAATTAAGTATGTAAATGACATGTTGCTAGAATATATTCCACTCAAGAGAACAACTTACAGGGCCAGAACTTTTTAAATCTGCCAACCCCGCACTCATAATCAACCAACCAGTAAGGTTTTATGAAGTTTCTCCTCTGTGCTAAGTGCTGTAAGGATAGGTTCTTCAAAGCTTAAAATGACCTTATACTCCATTAAACTCTAATCAAGTTACAGACATAAAACACATGAAATCACCAGAAAAACTACAAAGAATAACATAATAATTGTGGACGCTGAGAAAAGGAGAAATGAAGACTTCAAAAAGGAGTCAGGGCTTGAGTAGAACCCTCAGGCAGGAGTAAGGTTCAGATGGGCACAGTTTAGACGTGGAACCTGAAAAGGGTCCAATAGTGAAAATCACCATCATGCATTTAGGAGAGACTGGAAAGACACATCAGAATTTGAAGAAAAGCAGGAAATATGATGGACAGGTAAAATGGGATATGATTTCAGAAGGCCTTGAAAATCAGGTGGAAGTATTTAAAGATGTCAGGTACTGGTCCAAGCACTCTACATGCATTATTGTATTAATTCCCCATTACAGCTTTATGAGGTGAGCTCTATTACCATTCCTATTTTTCAGATGAGGAATCTGAGGCATTAAGAAGTTAAATAATTTGTAGAGAGCCTGATATTCAGTAAAAATAGTAGAGCCAAGACTTAGAGTGGTAGATGAGGTCACTTCTCTGGCTGCATTGGTCAAATGAAGGAGTTGGACTAAGTGGTCACTAAGATACCTTATAATTCTAACACTTAACATGGAAATTAATAACAAATGATGTATGAGTTAGGTGAAATTATAATTGAATGTTCTTTCCTGTTAAAATATATCCTTCTAAAAATAACATCATTTATTCAATCAGTGGACATTGTAAAACAAGAAAAGATGCCATGATCAAACTAAGGTTTGCAAATTCATGAGTTTTTGCAGGTTAACACAGCAGTGCCATGATATAAGATGGTGACCTGGTAGTAATGGGTAGAATAGATTTTAGAGGGGGTGAGGTTAAAATGAGAAAGAAGCACTAGAAGACTAATGAAATAATTAAGTATAGTAGAGACCTCCTCCTTGATACATGACCTTCTCATGGTTTATAAAGTTCCACACTTGGTTTTTTTCTCCCCACATTCCTTTTCAGTGGCCTTTGCAAGCTCCTACTCTTTTCCCCAATCTCTTTATATTGGCACGTCCCAGGGCTCAGTCTTTGGACCTCTCCTCTCTTCTATCTGTATTTATTTCCTCAGTGAAATCATCCAGCCCCATGGCTTTAATGGTCACATGATTACTCTCAACTCCTCCTACCCAGACCTTTCTCCCACACTCCAGATTCATTTATCTCACTGACTATTCAACAGTTCTCTCTGAATATGTAATAAACATCTTACCTCAACATGTCTCAAAATGAATTTCTGATCTCCCCTGGCCGCAAATCTACACCACCCACAGCATTCCCCAACTTAGCTGATGTCAAGCCTATCCTTCCAGTTAGTCAACTAAATATCTTAGAGTCATATTTTATTTTTTCTCTTTACATTATTTCCACGAGGAATTCTTGTTAACTCCTCCTTCAAAACATATCCAGAATCTGACCAATTCTTACCACATCAGCTACTACCACATGGCTAAGCTACCACAATCTCTCATTGGATTACAGTAGTAGATCGTCCCTCTGCTTCCATCCCTCCTCTATTATGGTCTCTTCCTAACATACAGCCAGGATGAGCCTCTGAAAATGGAAGTCACATCATGTCATCCCACTTCTCAAACAACAATAACAATAATAAAACCTCCCCAACGGTTGCCCATTTCACTCAAACTAAAAGCCAAAGTTCTTACAATGGCCTAGAAGTCTTGTCATGGTCTGCTCCCTGACCCACCTACTTACCTTTTACCTCCCTAACCAATTATTCTACTCTCCATGGGTCCCTCTGGCTCCAGCCCCACTGGCCTCCTTGTTTATCAAACATACCAGGTACACTTCTGCAAACAATAGGCTTTTGCCCTAGCTCCTTCTGCAGAATGTTCTGCCTCCAGAGACCCCCACCCCTGCACCTCCTCTAAGTCTCTGCTCAAATCTCACCTTCTAGATTTTTTTATTTATTTGAGGGAGAGGGAACAAGCAAGGGGGAGCAGCAGGCAGAGGGAGAAGCAGATTCCCTGCTGAGCAAGGAGCCCGATGTAGGACTCAATACCAGGATGTTGGGATCATGACCTGAGCCGAAGGCAGACCCGTAACCGACTGAGCCACCCAGGAGTCCCTCAAATCTCATCTTTTAGATGAGTCTTCCCTGATCACCCAATTTAATATTCTGATCTACCTTCCATTCCCTCACTTCACACTTCTAATTCCTGCCTCTATACAGGAATTAGACTATACTCCACTTTTTCCTTCCATAGAACTTATCTTGTAACTAGATAATGTACTTACTATGTTGATTGTTTATTACATATATCTTATCATGGCATTTTGTTCATTTTGCTTAGAACAGTGGTTCTCAAAGTATGGTCCGTGGGTCATCGGCATGAACATCACCTAGGAACTTGTTAGAAATGTAAAATTCCACACCCTACCCCAGACCTAGTGAATCAAAAACTCTGATGGTAGGACACAACAATCTGTTGAACCAGCACTCCAAGACACACACTCAAGGTTTAGAATCACTAGCCTGAAGCAATGCATAGCACAGAGTAAGCACACAATAAGAGCATGTTAAATAAATTTTAAAACCCTCTTTTCCTGGTAATTTCCCTCTACCCACAGAAGAGGACACTCAGCAATTCTACTGTAACACAGCTGACTGCCCCAGGGTAAGTGCCTGACTCAAACTGGGTGTTTTATAGCCCCCTCTGCAAAGCAAGCCACCCAAAGTGTGGTTCTGCCGTTGAGGCTAAAGGCACTACATGCACCAGGAGAATTTGAGAGAAAGTTTACTACTCACACAAGGCGCTCCCAGGGAGTGTTGGGCAGGCACAAGCAGGCCTGGGAAGGAATGGGTTGGGCCTTGATTAGTGGCTGGAGGTGGGGAGGGGTAGGAATGGGAAAAGCTGCTGCCACCTGGGAGATTTAAATTTTCTGTTAGCACCAAAGGTGAGCTCACAGACCTCCTATCAGCCTGCCTGTGTATGGAACCAAAGGAAAAAAGAGGGGTGAGTTTTAAAAACAAGTCAGTGGTCAAACATCAAAAAAGATGTCAGACTCATTTTATATGGTGGGCCACTCAGAATCTCTTTCCTAAGAATCTAGAATCCAGATTAGGAGCCAGCCAGGCAGTCTCCGTTTATAGCTGAAATGGAGGGATATAAAAATGCAGGAGCTGCCATTTTTCCTTCAGAGATGGAAAGTAAAGAAAGTCAGTCTTTAGAAGGAGAAAAAGAAGCAGATGTATACAGAGAACCAAAGGTATGAGACCTACAGTTGCCTGGAGTCCACAGCCTTCCCAGGGCCTAGCTGCATTCCCCCAAGCCAGGCTGGTGCCCTTAACTTGCGATCAGAGTCCTAACTGAAACCGTAAGTCAAAATTACCTAAATATAGGTTATTGTTGTAGTAATGAGATTGATAAAAAAGACAGTTCCAAGGAAGAAGAGATGACATCTAGCAGAGAATCTAGCACAAAATAGACAATAAATAATTCATCAATAAACACATGAGAGAGTAGCAATATTCAGTTAGAGGATAAAAGGAAAAAGAAGAGTTGAGACTTCTTAAAGAGCTTTAAAAATGGGATGACTACCTTTAACCTGGTAGATTTATTGTTTTTAATTTGGTCATAGACAAAGGGCAAATCTCTATTTATCAAAGAGTTTTGGTGAATTATTCATATATAAAGTGAAAAAAAAATATGAATTTCATTCTCCTTGCCACCACTGCTATTACTGACAAAGCATTCCTGTCCCAGCATCAAACTCTACTGCAATACTGATCATCAAGACCCACTGAGCAATACCAACCCAGGGAGAGAAGAGATGGCAGAGACATGGGCTCTAGAAGACCCGGGCCCATGTTAGAAGTTGAATATATGACTTCCTTGAACCTAGACAGAGCAGTAGAAAGGTGTGAGCTGGTTCAAGGGTCAGGCTTACCATCTGATACCCAAGTAACTGTGGGTTACTTAATTACATGACCTCCCTGAGACACCCTTTCTCAAATAAAATGGCAGAGGAAGGATTAAATTTATTTCAGTTTCCTCAACTATAAAGTAATAATACCATCTCGCTGAGTTATTGTAATAAACACACTAATGAATCTTTAAATACCTGGCACATAGTAGTTTTTAATTAAATGATATCCCCCATTTCTTTTTCTCAATAAGCCACTGTTTCCACTCATTATTTGACTGAGTAGTTCAATAACCCAGCAATATATGACACTGGGTCTTATATCCATTTTAGAGATAGGGAAATTGAGACCTAGTAATTTGCCTAAAATCCTGCTCAGAGGTTTCTAATTTTCTACATTCTACATTACATTATCTAGACATTCCTGAATGAAAGGGGAAAAATAAAAACAAATGAAGCTATAAAGAGGGGGAAATTAGAAAATATATCATTCATAATCTTTTTTCAAACAATTTTCCAGATAATCTAAATTAATAGCTTTCTACATTAAACAGAAACCTAGTGAAGATTCAACTGATTTTATTAATGTCTATAGAATAATGTTGAGTTGAAAGTCCAACCTAAAATTCCACGCCAAGTTAATCATAGGCATTTAGTGAAATGTCTCTATTTCTTACTATAAAATATATATAATAATATTTTTTAAAAGATTTATTTATTTATTTGAGAAAGAGAGCAGGATAAGGGGCAGAGGGAGAAGGAGATGGACAAGCAAACTCCCCACTGAGCATGGAGCCCAATGCCAGGCTCAATTCCAGGACCCCAAGATCATGACCTGAGCCAAAACCAAGAGCCGGATGCTCAACCGATTGAGCCACCCAGGTGCCACGTATGATAATATTTTTTAAAGAACTGAATTATCCTGAAACTAAAAACTAACCACTCTCATGAAAAATAGATTGCAATTCCAAAGGAAAGGGACATTTCCTTGCTAGTACTTAAAAGCTTAACTTGAGCTGTAAATTAAGTTTTACTAAGTTTACTAAGTAAGAAAATTTTGCTTCAGTCACTTAACATTATGAGAGTTAATGCTCATATACTGTCATAAATTAATATAGTACTGCATATATAGTATCAATAATGAAACACTGGGCATTACTTTATGACACTTCTCATTATTCCAGCAGAATAGCTTAGACTTCGTTTTATTAACTTTTCAATGAAAGTTCTGCCAAATGAAACCCAAAAGTCAAACGTCCCTGGAGAAAAATTAGGCCTTGATAAAATACTCGGTTCCTCACTTTGAAATAACTCCATCACTGCAAATTAGGAAATATATTAGATTCCAAAGAAATAAAAACATCAGAAAACCATGAACCAATATGACATGCTAAACCAATGCTAGACAAATCCTAGCAATTCTCTCAATTTAATTTTCTTTGAAAAATATGATAATGTAAAATACCACTAAGATCTTACCTTATTATTCTAATCAACTATTAAGAGAAAAATAATAGCACAATAGAAACGTGATAAAATTTAAAATAGCCATCATTTCTAGAGCCAACAATAGGCTTAAAATTAAGATTCTCAAGACCTAGGTCAGTGAGTCACCTTTTCTAGTGTCCTATTCACTGGTGTTATTTTAAGACAGGCAATGATTTCAGCAAAAATGTTAATTCATGAGTATATTCATAACTAAAAACATTAACAATATTTATTAAGTACCTACTGTGTGACAAGTGAACTGGTTAAACATCATGCATAATTCTATTTAATACTCATAATACCTCTGGGAGGTAGCTACTATTACTATTCCCACTTCATAGATGAGAGTTACTTGCTCAATATCATACGGCTAGTGTGAGGAGCTGGAATTTGAACTCAGGTCTGTGTGTCTTTAGTAACTCAGAAATTTCACTTCTGTAACTCTCTCCCTCCAAAAAAGTAATCATGGATGTAGACAGAGATTCATATACCAAGATGTACATCACAGCTTTGCTTATAATAACAAAAGACTGGAAAATATCAAAATGCCCACCAGTAAAGATTACGAAGTAAACTACAATCTATCTGTAAGATGCAGTATCTTTAAAGGGGCAACATCTTTAGAAGATGTAGCTGTTAAAAATTACGCTATGGAGGAATATTTAATGGAATTTAAAAAATGTCAATTATATATTAAATGACAATATCAGGATAGGAAATAATACATATATATACCGTGATTAGATTATATATTATATGCATATGTATATATATAAATGTGTGTGTGTATAAGCACATACACACACACACACATGCACACAAATGAAAAGATAGCTCTGGATCAGGGTTTCCCAATCTTGGCACTACTGACATTTTGGGCTGGATCATTCTTTGTTATGGAGGGCTGTTGTTTGAATTGTAGGGTGCTTTTCAGCATCCCTGACCTCTACCCACTAGATGCCAGAAGTACCCTTTCAGGTTATGACAACCAAAAATGTCTCCAGACATTGACAAATGTCCCTTGGGGGCCAAAATTGCACCAAGTTAAGAACTGCTCCTCTGGATGATAGGATAAACAGGTAACATTTATTTTCTTCTTTGTGCATTTCAGTATTTTCCAAATTTCTAAAATTAAATTTAAAATTAAAATTAAATTTTTACAATAGCATTTTTTCCTGGATACATTTGTAATCCAAGAAAAAAAATGCTATTGTAAAAATCAATCTCACTAAAAAGAGAAGGAATGATTCCTATTTTTATGAGACTAAACTGTAGTAATGGAAATATGTAATAACAAGAACTTTAGAATATCCACTGTGATTTTTTTCCCATTAGAAATTACTTAGTGACAGTTTAACAGAAAAAAAAAACATAGAGGAAAAAATTAACAGAAATCTCTTCTACCTGCGTCAAGAACATCCGAGCAGTAACAGCAGAAAGAGGTGGATAAACCAGAATTGGTTTAGTTGTCTCTCCAACAGCATCACCAATAAGCTTCCCGTTAGAAGAATAAGCAGCAATTGCAAAGACATATTTTTCATTGGTTTCTAAACCTTTCACTTCAAAAATGCTTTTACCATCAGCTGGTATCTGTTAAAAAAAAACATATTTCAAGTTTATGTATGGAAAACTGAAGTAATGTGACTTTAAAAATATAATTAAATAACCCTTATATGTAAAAAATAAATAAAATAAAACCTTTGTATTTACTGTTGGATTTTAGCTATGATTTAAATTGAAATTAGAGAAATTCACTGAAATAATGACATTAGAAGAGGGTAAAAAAAAAACCACTCAGTTGTCATTAATGAGACTTTTGGTAAGATTTCCTAACATTTAGAGGTTTTTTCAGTTTGACATACCGCTTCTCCTGAGTTTGGGAGATGATTATTATTTAGCCTTACTTTTCCATAGCTCCCTTCTGCTTTGCAACCCAAAATGCAGTACCAGGAAACCTGCCGAGGAGAGAGATGAACCCATCATCTATAGTCTGTTTAACAAGGCATTCAATTTCTTTTATCAAGATGTGGCACTTGTTGTGATGAACACCAGGTGTTGCATGGAAGCACTGAATCACTTGTCATTGAATCACTTCATTGTACACTGTATGTAATATTACACTGTATGTTGACTAACTAGAATTTAAATAAAAACTTAAAAAACAAAAAACAAATACTTTTCCAAACACAAATATAGTTATTCAACTTTTAAAACATGGAATCTAACTAATGATGTACTATACGTTGGCTAACTGAATTTAAATAAAATAAATTAAAAAAACATGGAATCTACGTTTACAAATACACTTAGGTTTAATCTCACAAAAATAAAGACAAATATAGGGCTCATTTACCTGGGACTACAAAGACTATTATTCACTATTTATTTTTTAACTACCATTAACTGAGCAGTTTCTATGTGCTACGCATTGCTGGGAAATTTACATAAACTTTCTAGTATTTGCAACATCCCTATGAAATGGGATTACTGTGGTCATTTTGCTTTAGAGGAAATGGAGACACAGAAATGTTCAATAACTTGCCCAAGATCAGATAGTAGCATGATACTTGATAATTCTTAACTATAGAAACCAAAAGCAAAATGCAAATTCTACAGGAACAGTCAAACTTAAACTTAATTAAGTGGTTAGAAATGGTTCTTCTGCCCAAGATGTCAAAATAATGGAGACTCCTCATAGGAATGAACTATTCTCGCTGTAAGGGAAAAGGGAACAAGTTGATACTGAGGGAATAGCATTATGAAGGAGCCATACTGTCCTGAGGTTGGGGTTGGGTATGTTGTCATCACTGTGTTATTCTCTTTTCCACAGAGGCTCCACCTCCCAACATCTCAACACCTAAATGACAAGGAAGGGGCACCTGGGTGGCTCAGATGGTTAAGCGTCTGCCTTCAGCTCAGGTCATGGTCCCAGGGTCCTGGGATCGAGCCCCACAGCGGGCTCTCTGCTCAGCGGGAAGCCTGCTTCTCCCTCTCCCACTCCCCCTGCTTGTGTTCCCTCTCTCACTGTGTATCTCTCTGTCAAGTAAATAAATAAAATATTTTTTTAAACGATAAGGAAAACTGGAAAGAAGGGAGAAAGTAATTGTCTCTAAGAAGCGATTGCCTATATAGCTTAGCTTAGCTATTTCTTCTTCCAGGTCAACAGAAAAATCCTAATGGTGTCTTGTCGGCATGACTAGTTCTCAACCCTGACTGTGCAGAGTCAGTTTTTAAAATACAGTTTTCACAGAACCAACCATTTTTTAAAATTACATATGCCCAAGCCTGCCTAGCCTCAATGAATTAGAGTTTCTGGTACAGGTGTCCAAACCTTTGTGTCTACAAAGAAAACTGCTCAAGTAATTAAGGAGCACTTGACAAAGGTAGAACTCCAAGGACAGAGACACAGCATTGAAAGAACTTGAAAGCTGGAAGCCAAAAGGGGGGAAAAGTCAGATGAATTTCAGAAGAAATTTAAAAACTAACTTTCCATGCAAAAAGAGTACCATTTAACATTGAGGGGGAAAAGGCAGAAAGATTATGCTACATGACTTAAATTATTATTTTCTCTAAGTTAAGCTCTCTACATAAACCAGAATTTGAAGGATAAAATTCTCTCTAAAAGCATTTTTAGAAGCAGGATTTATGTTTCTATTTTGTTCCACAAATAAAGCCATCTTAGTTTGTGTAACTATAAGGAGCAGTGTGAAATTAGAATCTACATAAGAGTAAAGACACCATGAATAAATCACCACTAACTTTAGAAGTAAAAGTTTATTAATAACATCAGCATTTTCAACTTTTAAAACAGATTTTAATGACACAAATGCTTTAACAAGAGATTTTGATAAAACAAAAGATGTCCGAAAGCTAAAGCAGAAAACTTATTTAAGCCCACAGCACCATCTAGTGTTGATGCATATGTAACAGAAGGTAGTAATTTCCTGGAGCACACAACTCTACTAAAGCATCATCTACATAAACTTCATATGATGTGCTGACAGGTCCTACAACTACAGGTCTGATATGGAATACTTGTATCTTCCTATTTCTAAGCATTATAAAATAAGATAAACTAGTCACTTATTTGAAATACAAAAAAAAAATTGGGTTAAATAAACCAAAACATTTGAATAAAAACAAAGAAAAACCCTTGGTAAGGCATCCAGTCTTAGTTCTATACTGAATTTCCAAAATCAGCAAATCCTCATTCTTAAATAGATCCAAACACAACCAAAATTGAACTTTAAAAATGCTAGCAATTGCAATAATGCATTTATGATAGCACAGTTCAGTGTTAAGATGAAAGTTACTTCTATTTCTCCAATTATAAAACATTATAAAGGTGGCATTACTTCTCACTGATGTCCATATCCCATTAGTCTGAAGCTCCTCAAAGAACGGAATCAAGCTTTGTGATTATTTTTATATCTCAATTACCTCGCACAGAGCTGGACAGATAAGAGATACTCGATAATGTTCACTGGACAAAATTTATGAAAAAAAATCATCAAATAATGTAATCACACTCTATACCATCGTTAATTGTTTTAAGCAAACTTTACTATATATGTTTAATATAAGATATGGAGGGACATCAACTAATATGCCAGGAATATTATATATTATCTCATTTAATTTTCACAGTAAACATATTTTACAAATAAAAACAATACCACCACCACCTCAAAAAGTACATTTAGACTTTCTAAGGTCATACTGTTAGTAAGTGGTGCAGCTGGAATTTTAAACCTGTATCTCTCTGACTTTAAAGCCTGTGCCCTTTCCACGATACCAAGTTGATAGACGTTCAAGCAGAATATCCTAAAGACAAAGATAAAACTTTTTTATACTACGGGTGCCTGGGTGGCTCAGTTGGTTAAGCGACTGCCTTCAGCTCAGGTCATGATCCTTCCCGGGATCAAGTCCCGCAATGGGCTCCCTGCTCAGTGGGGAGTCTGTTTCTCCCTCTGATCTTCCCCCCTTCTCGTGCTCTCTCTCTCTCAAATAAATAAAATCTTAAAAAATAAAAACTTTATACTACATCAAAGACCATGTTGTTAATCATCCAAAAGAGGAAATTTAATATTTAAAATATAAATCAGACGGAACGCTTATGAGGACACTAAATCTCAAGTTAGAGTCACATTTAGGCCAAGTTCCAAGGCATTGGGGATGGGAGAAAGAGCTCATTCTTCAATAAATACATAAAGATTTATGACTTATGGTTGGAATTGTCATTTGTTTACATTAAAAGAATGCCCATTTACTTGGAAGAACTCTGGGAAGAACATTTAAATTTGCTATCCCCAAATTTCCTCATCTCCATCACTGGCTCTGAGAGTAACTTCCATGCTCTTCAAATGCCTTATTCCAGTTCAGCTGAGACCTTCCCCATCTTGAACACACACTAGGATGTCAGCGTAGGACTATGCCATGGTAACAAAGATACTTAAGAGACAAATTCTTCTCTACTGCTTCTCCTTACTATATATTTGAGTACAGCAAAGCTAGACAGAGCATGAAGGAAAACAGCACAAAGAAGGAAAGGTCTTGAAGAAACTAAATACAGTTAAGACATTACAATACTAATCCCAGTGTTCAGTGCTTATAAATAAGACTATTCAAGTCCTAAGAGCAAGAAAAGAATCAATCATGGTAGTCATAAAAGTACTTATGTTACTTTGCCTGAAATAAAGATTATAATGGGCAACATACCTTAACATCTGAAATAAATGGAGCAGGTTTCAATGTCACAGAACAATAAGTTCGGGATAGCAGGATAGGTGGGGGAGGGGATCTGCTTTTCTTTCTTTTCGAACTTTCCACATATTTTTGATATGAATATAGGGTATTCTGTTCTGCTTCAGTCTTCTCAATTAAAGAATATGCTTCCTATAATAAAGTGTGAACATAGAAAAATACATTTCAAGATTTGAACTGCATTTATATTTGTAGAATTCTGGTAATGTTAAACAACATTATCATGCTATATGTAGCTTTTTGAGCCTCAGTGTTACACATATTTCAAGCATCGAATGATTTTACAAAAGTAAAAAATAGCTACTAAGATTAAGTAAAAAATAGCTATAAATTAAGTAAGGTAATGGAGTCATATTTATATACCTAGTATGTTCATCATCATTATAATATATCAATATTAGACATTTCACTTTCATATCAAGCCCTCTGAATATCTACCATATTTCAGTGTCCTTAAAAAATTCATAGCACGATCATCTACATTTATACTAAAGAACTGTACACCTACCCTTAATGTAACTTGAAATGTGACTCTCAAGTAATAAGACTATGTGATTTATGAAATGAATATTATTGAAAGCTTCTTACTATCAGCAAGTAGAAATAAAAACACTTATTCTGTAAACCTGAAAGAAAGGCAATCCTTATTTCAAAAGGTAACACATTGAAGGACAACACACAAAACAAAAAACATAAAAGTCAGATCTGAATACTTCCAAAGAAAGTTTATCTGCAATAATAATGCATGTAAATGGGTTAAACTTGTCTTTTAAATTAAATTAAAAAGGCAAAGACTCTTGAATTGAGCTCCAAAGCAAAAATCCATGTAAAGATTAAAATTAAATGGGTAACAGAGGAAAAAATAGCCTTTCCATTGTACTAGGACAATTAGATGTCCACATGCAAAAGTAATAAAGTTGTACCCCTACATCACACTACATACAAATATTAACTCAACATGAATTACAGAACCAAATGTAAGAGACAAAATTATAAAATTCTTAAAAGGAAACATACAAGTAAATCTTCATAACTTTGGGTTAGGCAATAGTTTCTCAGATATGACACCAGAAGGAAACAAACACACACACACACGTAGATAAACTGAACTTCATCAAAATTTCAAATGATACCATCAAGAAAGTAAAAAGACAACCAAAAGAACGAGAGAAAATAACTGCAAATCATGTATCTGATAAGGGACTTGTATTCAAAATATATAAGAACTGTTACAAGTCAATAATAAAGACAAATAACCCCATTAAAAATGGGGACAAAGGGTTTGAACAGACGTTTCTCCAAAGAAGACATATAAATAGCCAATAAGTACAAAAAAGATGCACAACATCATTGACCATTTAGGGATGAAAATACAAAATTAGCAAGCTAATTCAAGAAGCAGAAAACTTAAATGCAGGATAATGATAGAATAAACTGAGAAAGATATCCAAAAATTTCTTCCCACAACAATGTCAGGCTCAACTGATCTCATTTTTTAAAAATTTCAAATCTTAAGGAACTGATAATTCCTATGACATTTAAAATTTTTCTAACTACGAAGAAAGACAGCTTCTCAAATAATTTTACAAATTATTGTAAGAAAACTTGAAAAATGACTGCACTTAAAAACAGAGCAATCTTCTTACAAATATAAATGCAAACATTCTAAATAAAATACTAATACATTGAATCTAGCAATATATTAAAGGAATAACATACTGTAATTGTATTCTCTATCTCCCAAGAATACATGGATAATTTAATATCAGGAAGTCTATGAATACAATTTATCTATAAATCAAATGAGAAAAAAATATGATTACAGGCTCAAAGACCAAAAAAAATCTGAACTTCTTTAACATTCACTACTAATTTTTTTTTAAAAAAAGAAGAGGTAGAAAGGGAAATCAAAAAAATCTTAAGACAAATGAAAATGGGAACACAACATAGCAAACCCTATGGGATGCAGCAAAAGCAGTTCTAAGAAGGAAGTTTATAGTGCAAATGCTTACATTAAGAAAAAAGAAAGATCTGGGGTGCCTGGGTGGCACAGTCAGTTAAGTGTCCGACTCTTGGTTTCTGCTCAGGTTGTGAGTGCTCATCATAGAGTCTGCTAAAGATACTCTCTCCCTCTCCCTATGCCCATCCCCCTGCTCACTCTCTCTCTCTCTCAAACAAAAATAAATAAATCTTTTTTTTAAAAAGGAAGATCTGAAATAAACAATCTAACTTTACTCTTTAAGGGAACTAGAAAAAGAACAAAAAACTAAGCCCAAAATTAGTAGAAGGAAGGAAATAACACAAATCAGAAGGGAAATAAATGATATAGAGACCTGAAAGATAATAGAAAGGATCAACTAAAATAGGAGCTGGGTTTTTTAAAAGATAAAGCCGACAAATTTTTAGCTAGACTAAGAGAAAAAGAGAGAAGACTCAAATTAATAAAACCAGAAATGAAAGAGGAGACATTAAAACTAATACCACTGAAATACAAGGAATCATAAGAGACTACTATGAACATTATACACCAACAAATTGGATAACCTAGAAGAAACTGATAAACAACTAGAAACATACAACTTACTAAAACTGAATCATGGAGAAATAGAAAATATGAACAAGCCAATAACAAGTAAGGAGATGAATCAGTAATCAAAAACCTCCCAATAAAGAAAAGACCAGAATTAGACAATTTCACTGGGGAAGTCTAACAAAAATTTAAAGAATTAATGCCAATCATTCTCAAACTCTTCTAAAAAATTAGAAAGGGACGCTTCCACATTGATTTTAAGAGGTTAGCATGACCCTGATACCAAAGCCAGACAAGGACACTACAAGAAGAGAAAACTACAGCTCAACATCCCTGATGAATACAGATGCAAAAATCCTCAACAAAATAAGAGCAAACCAAATTCAAAAGTACAGTAAAAGGATGATTAAAACCATGATGAAACAGGATTATTCCTGGGATGCAAGGATGGCTCAACATAAATGTGATACAAATTAATAAATGTGATACACCACATTCACAAAATGAAGGATAAAAATAATATGATCATTTCAATAGATTCAGAAAAAGAATTTGACAAAATTCAACATCCTTTTATGATAAAAAAAAAAAACTCTCCACAAACTGGATATAGAAGGAACATAGCTCAAAATAATAAAGGTCTTATATGACAAACCTAATGCTAACATCATACTCAATGATAAAGGTTGAAAGCATTCCCACTAAGATTAGGAATAAGACAAGAGCGCCCACTCTTACCACTCTTATTCAACATGGTACCAGACATCCTAGCCAAAGCAATCAGAAAAAGGTATCTAAATAAAAAAGAAAGAAGCAAATTGTCTCTGTTTACAGATAACATGATTATATATATAGAAACTGTAAAGACTCCACCAACACTGTAAGAATCAATAAACAAATTCAGTAAATTTGCAGGATCCAAAAATTAACATACAAAAATCAGTTGTATTTCTATACACGAACAACAAACTATCCACCCAAAATTTAGAAAACAATCCCATTTGTAATAGTATCAAAAATAAGAAAATAGGAATAAATTTAACCAAGGAGGTAAAAAAGGTCTGTGCACTGAAAACTATAAAATATTTATGAAAAAAATTAAAGAAGACACAAATAAATGGAAAAATACCCCATGTTCATGGATAGGAAGAATTAATATTGTTGAAATATCCCTACAACCCAAAATGATCTACAAATTCAATGCAATCTTTATCAAAATTCTAATAGCATTTGTCACATAAATAGAAAAGGCAATCTTAAAATTTGTATAGAATGACAAAAGATCCAAATAGCTAAACAGGCTTGAGCAAGAAGAGCAACACTGGAGATATCACTTCGTGATCTCAAACAAAGCTATAGTAATTAAATAGCATGGGAAGGAAGGAAGGAAGGAAGGAAGGAAGGAAGGAAGGAAGGAAGGAAGGAAGGAAGGAAGGAAGGAAGGAAGGGAGAAGGAAAGAAAGGAAAGGAAAGAAAAACCAATGGAACAGAATAGAGAGCCCAGAAATATGGTCAATTGGAGAATATTCCATGGGCACTAGAGAAGAATGTATATTCTGTTGCTTTGGGATGGAATGTTCTGAATATATTTGTGAAGTCCACTTGGTCCAGTGTGTCATTTAAAGTCTTTATTTCCTTGTTGATCTTTTGCTTAGATGATCTGTCCATTTCAGTGAGGGGAGTGTTAAAGTCCCCCACTATTATTGTATTGTTGTCCATGTGTTTCTTTGCTTTTGTTATTAATTGGCTTATATAATTGGCTGCTCCCATGTTAGGGGCACAAAGATTTACAAATGTTAGATCTTGTTGGATAGACCCTTTAAGTATGATATAGTGTCCTTCCTCATCTCTTATTATAGTCTTTGGTTTAAAATCTAATTTGTCTGATATAAGGATTGCCACACCAGCTTTCTTCTGGACATTTCCTTACACCACACACAAAAATAGACTCAAAATGGTTGAAAGACCTAAATGTGAGAGAAGAATCCATCAAAATCCTAAAGAAGAACACAGGCAGCAACCTCTTCAACCTCAGCCGCAGCAACTTCTTCCTAGACACATCACCAAAGGCAAGGGAAGCAAGGGCAAAAATGAACTATTGGGATTTCATCAAGATAAAAAGTTTTTGCACAGTAAAGGAAACAGTCAACAAAACCAAAAGACAACTGACAGAATGGGAGAAGATACATGCAAATGACATCTCAGATAAAAGGCTAGTATCCAAAATCTATAAAGAATTTATCAAACTCAACACCCAAAGAACAAACGATCCAATCAAGAAATGGGCAGAAGACATGAACAGACATTTTTCCAAAGAAGACATCCAAATGGCCAACAGACACATGAAAAAGTGCTCAACATCGCTCGGCATCAGGGAAATCCAAATCAAAACCTCAATGAGATACCACCTCACACCAGTCAGAATGGCTAAAATTACCAAGTCAGGAAACGACAGATGTTGGCGGGGATGCAGAGAAAGGGGAACCCTCCTACACTGTTGGTGGGAATGCAAGCCGGTGCAGCCACTCTGGAAAACAGTATGGAGGTTCCTCAAACAGTTGAAAATAGAGCTACCATACGACCCAGCAATTGCACTACTGGG